TTTTTTTCTTTTGTGATGTTTGCCAATGGTTTGTCAATTTTATTAATCCTTTTGAAGAACCAGCTTCTTGTCCTGTTGATTCTTTCTATAGCTTTTCTGTTTTCTAGCTCATGTATTTCTGCTCTAATCTTTATTATTTCTTTTCTTCTGTTGACTGTCTTTGCTGGTCTATTTCTAATTGTTGGAGATGTATTAATGTGTTGATTTTGGTTCTTTCTTCTTTTTAGATGTATGCATTTATCACAATAAATTGTCCTTTTAGCAATGCTTTTGCTGTGTCCCAAAGATTTTGGCATGTTGTGTTTTCATTCTCATTTGTCTATAGGAATTTTGTAAATCCGCCTTTTATTTGTTCTAATACCCAGTAGCTTTTAAGCAGAATATTATTCCATTTCCATTTTTTTTACTTTATTTCCTTGGTCTTCCTATTGCTAATTTCTAATTTTATAGTATTGTGATCCAAGAAGATGCTTTGTAGTATTTTGATGTTTGTAAATTCATAGAGGCTTGATTTTTGGCCTAACACATGGTTTATTCTGGAGAATGTTCCATGTGCAATGGAAAAGAATATGTATTGTGCTGTTGTTGGGTTGAAAGATCTCTGTACACACCTATGAGGTCAAGTTGGTTGACTGTGTTGTTTAGTTCCTTGGTGTCTTTGTTGAGTGACTTTCTGGTTGTTCTATCCTTTTTAGAAAGTGTTGCATTAAAATCTCCCACTATTAAGGCAGATTTGTCGGTTTCTTTCTTCAAATCTATTAGGGTTTGCTTTATATATTTTGTGGCTCCTTTCATTGGGGGCATAGATATATATTTATTATGGTTATGTCATCTTGTTCAATTGGCCCTTTAATTATGAGATAGTGTCCTTTTTTTTTTTTAATCTATTATGCTGGGTTTTGCCTTAAAGCTTATTTTATCAGAGATGAGCATTGTCACTCCTGCTTTTTTTGTTGTTTTTTTAATGTTTTTTTGTGAATTATGTGATAGTTTACAAGGGAGAACATTAGCTTTACATTCATCCTATCATATATCATTTCATTGCCATGGTTACAATCCCCTCCATGCATCATCAAACAACCAAAGGGTATATACCCCACAAGCCTGCCTCTCAGTCATCAGCACATAGCCCCTCTCCCTCTCTAAGGTCCCCAGACACTCCATCTCTCCACATCATCATCTCTGCCTCCATCTCTGGTGTCATTGTTTCTCTGGGTAGGGTCCTGCACTCTGCTCTTCTCCCTCGATGGCCCTAGGGACCGCCACTCCTGGACTGCAAAGTCAACCACTCCCCTCCTTTTGCTACAAAACATCTATCTGTACATTTCCAACCCTCCCAGTCAGTCCTGATAGCAATTATTCACTATTGTACCATAAGAGTCCTATCCCCATCTCCTTTCATCAGCCCCGCCCAGATTGGATACTACTCAGGGGAGATTCTACCTTCCTCCATGCCCTCTGAATCTAGACACCCTCTTCAAAGCTGGTAAGCCAGTCACTTCTTGCCTTTGTAGACCATACCCCCATTCTGGGTAGACAATGTCCAAGTTGCCCTCCTGCTTGCTTCTGATTGCAATTAGTGTGGTATATTTTTTTCCATCCTTTAACGTTTAGTCTGCTTTTATCTTTGTGTGTAAGGTGTCTATTGCAGACAGCATACTGAAGGATCTTGTTTTCTTATCCATTTTGCCACTCTCTGTCTCTTCACTGGTGTATTTAATCCATTGAAATTCAGTGAAATTATCAATAGGTATGAATTAATTGCTGTCATTATGTTTGTCTGTTTGTTTTTTGTGGTGCTGCTCGTTTCTTTGTTCCACTTGCCTTCTTGTGCCGAGTTCATGGGGTTTTTTTTGCTACACACACATACACACACACAGTAGCAAAATATGAGTAAGACATTAAGGCCCCTTTTTTGGCTTCTTGCCTTCCAGACCACCTGAGAAATTTCAAGATGTTACCGTTGTTCCTTATGATGTAACTCAAGATTTAGTTTATGGCCTCTTTCATTTTTCACTTCTCTCACCTCGCCTGAAGTCTGTTTAGGTGTTTCTCCTAGTGAGAAACAACCTAGGACTGACCAGATCCATTTTTGAAGACCCTCCTGTTCCAAGTTGTTCCTGTTGACTCTTCCCCCTTCTTGGACTCATGGTCCAGTGGTCTTTGCTGAGCAGATTCATGCATGTGTGTAGTAGAATTCTCTGGGTGCAGGAGGGGTCTCACTCAGGTACCCCTTCTTGTCACCAGAGGAGGTGCACATACTGAGAAAGATATATGAATGGGGAAAATAAATGTTCACACCTTTATCTCTGATGATCAGTCAGATCTCTGATGATGGAGTACTTTCTTGATCTCATATCTGCTATTTCCCACTTAAGACTTGCAGGCAGCCACAAATCAGAAAACACCACTTTTATTGTTTCTGCTACAAAGCCCAATAGCAGTAAACCTTCGATACATCTAAATATTCCTTTATATGTAGTTCAGAGTTCCAAAATCATCCTTTGCACCAGCTTCATCTGGTATTCTGTGTTATTACTGGTGAAGGTCTGCATGATGCCTCTCCTAATCTGCCATTAGGCCCTGCCTCACATTAAGTCTCCCTATGCTACCTCTTGAAATTGTGGAACATTGCCCAAATCTTTTTAGCAAAATTATTCTATGTATCCCATCTATCTTTGGTTTGTTTTTGGTTTTCTGAATCATTATTTTGCTTAAAGAATCCTTCAGTAGTGCAACTAGAGTCTAGAATTTTTTTTTTTTTTTTTTTTAGTTTTTTCACCTTGAGAAATACCCAGCATGTTCTTCCCTTTTTGTTTGGAAGTCCCAGTATTTGCATATTTCATTATAATACTTTGCCTTGTCTGCTTGAGCTACTCTTTGAAACTTTGTTTCAACTTTTTAACTTAATCATTTCTTCCATTCACTTTTGCTATTCAAAAGCAAGTTTCAGGGAGAGGTGGAGGGAAAATTGTTCATGGTTAGAGGGAAGACACATGTTAACATCAGTGCGAGGGCAGGCAATATACAACAAGAGGGAGGTTAGCAGAGGAAAGATGAAGGTAGTGGAAGACACAGGGAGGAATGAAACAGTTCAAGTGAATAGAGGTAAACGCCGTTCACTGTTGGTACATGGAGGGGATTGCAACCATTTTAGTAAATCAAAGTCTATAATTTACTGAATGTAAAACTGATGATCTGCTCTGTAAACCTTCACTCAATTCACAATAAAAAGTTTTCTGTTTTGTCTTTCTTTTTTAAAAAAGCAAGTTTCAGCGTTTCTTCTGACTGTCATTTTGGTCTTTGTTTTTCTTTCCTTTTTAATGACCTTTTGTTTTCTTCATGTATGATGTCCTTCATGTTACCCCATAGTTCCTCTAGTCTTTGGTTATTAGTTTCAATGTGTCAAATCTATTCTTGATATAGCCTCTAAATAAATTCAGGTGGTATATACCCAGGTTGGTTCTTGTGAACTTGTTTCAATTTTCTTCAGCTCTAACCTGAATTTGCATATGTACAACTGATGGTCTGTTCTTTGGTTGATGACATGGAGCTTGTCCATAATCATTTTCCATGAATGTAGTTGATCTGATTCCTGTGTATCGTATCTGGTGAGGTCCACATATATAACCACCATTTATGTTGCTAAAAAGAGCATTTGCAATGAAGAATTCATTGGTCTTGCAAAATTCTATCATGTAATCTCCAGCATAATTTGTCTCACCAAGGCCATATTTTCCAACTACTGATCTTTCCTCTTTGTTTCCAACTTCTGAATATCCAATTACCAGTGATTATTAATGCATCCTGATTGTATGTTTGATCAAGTGCAGAATTTGGCAAAAATATTCCATTTATTTAATATTGGCTTTAGTGGTTGGTGTGTAAATTTGAATAGTCTTATTAACTGATCTTTATAGGTATATGTATGAGTGCCATGTGTACCCCCAGTCTTTCAGCTCCAGCTCAGTGATGCGCATCTGCTGGCACTTAAGAAGCAGAGCTTCCAACTGGTTTGAACCAGTTGTCATGACTGACAGAAACAGGGCTGGCCTCCCCGCCCCCCACCCACCCACCACTCACAGACAGGGGACTAACCAACAAGCCTTGAAACCACCGTGGTTGACCATCATTTTAAAGTAAGTAGTTTCCTACTGGGGTCAAAATTCCACATGCAAGAGATTTGGCTGTATGTAACAATTATGCTGCCATGACAGACTGTTTTGAACAGGTTGGAAACCCTGCTTAGAAGAGTTGTTGATAGCTTAAGTTCTAAACCTTCCAGAACCTGGTGTGAGCAGAATGATGGAATGACACATATTCTCTGTATAAAGCCCACCTCGGCACGGGAAGGTGACTCACACATGGGAAAAGCCAAATAAAAAAGCAGAGACACTAGAGCAGGAGGGACAAGGCCCACTGACACGCCAATAAGAGTTCTGACTCCCCTGGTGAGTAAGATGGGAGCAGGCTGGATTTGGGAAGCAGAGCACAGAGGTCTGAGCTAGCCACATGTCATTGGAGGACTGAGCCAGTGGAGGGGAACAAGGGGGCCCTGGGAGTGGAAAGCTGCAAGCCCAGGCATTGAGAGAGTGACCAGGTGTGTCTGTGGGATACTCTGCTACTGTGGCTAAAGCTAAAGATCAGTCAGGTGCAGAAGTGGGCAAGCAGGCCCAAGTGGGGTCTCATCTCAGGCCAAAGACAGCAAACCCTGACTTGGAAGTGAGAGGAGCTACTCTCAGACTGTGGGCTTCAGAGAACACCCAACACTGGGCCAGGACCAGCAGAACCAGAGGACAGAAAGAGAAGGCTCCTGTCATGGAATCCACACTCCACGCCCTGACATGGGGGTCTGGATGGAGCAGCTGTTGCTTCAGGCCAGGGGTCTGAAACTGCCAAGCCCAAAAGAACAGGAAGTTGCCAAGAAGTCCTGCAAGAAGGGACACTCCCAGGCCCAGTGCCAGCCCCTTGGCTCCCAGGCTGAGCACCTAGAAACGTACCTCCTATTTTTGCATTGTACGCGATGCCCACAATGCAGTACGAATTGTTGGCTGAGGCGGCCACTTCTCCTGCACACCGAGTGCCATGTCTGAAACAAAGGAGGAAACCAAGTTAGGACCGGAACTGACAGTTGCAATGAATTCAGAGTGTTGCTTAGTTCTCCCATGACAAGATGAGCTTCCCCAAGTCTAGGGCTCACAGCAAAGTCCCCTTTCTGTCTCCTCTCATTAGCACTTCCTCTGACAGCTGCTACGCAGGCCAGTCAGCCAGGCCTTCCATGACCTGGGCCCACTGCATCTTCCAGGCCCATAGAGCCTTTCCACACCCCTTACAAGTGGGGGGCTGGATCTGGGGCTGTCTCTTCCAGGAAGGCTTCCCTGACCCTCAGCCTCCACAGCTCTGGAGTATGGCCTAGTGGAAGACAGAGACACTGGACCTCTGCCTCACATCTCCTGTGACTGATGGCAGTGCCTGGAAGACAGAGGGATCTCACACAGACTTTGCAGATAACATGAAAGAAAGAGGAAATGGATACTTATATCTTGTCTCATCCCCAAGGTCGGTGGTTCCAAGTCACCAGCAGCTCCTTGGAAACCCTATATGGGGTCACTTAAGAGCTGGAAGTGACTATGAGTTGGCACTTAAAACAACAACAGCGCTCACCTCAGAAGAGATCTCCCATCATTCCGACGGCCACTGAAGTAGGAACTGGGAAAGAATGCTCTACATTGATCATACAACAATCACTAGGACACAAGGAATAAGCTACTGCCAAACGAATTGCCCTTCTCAGTAATGACTCCATTTCCAATGTACTGCATATGCCAATTCTCCTGAAGAGGCCAAAGTACTGCTGACTTCAAACAGCATGTCTCTGAGGAGTTCAGAGGGGAGTAGTGTAATGGATTCAAATTTTAAACCACCTTTAAAATTAGGCCCTTTGGAAGAAAGCCATCGTGTCCTGTGGGGCCCACATGGCAGTGAACAGGCCACTAACCGTCACGTTGCTCAGTGTCTCACACCAGGAGGCCTTCTGCCCTTCAAGGGTCAGTGCGTGGATCTGGACCACTCCTTCCTGCCTCCTGGACACACGGCTGGAACACAAGGTTCTTTCACCACAGGTGGTGGTGCACACTGAGTGGGAAAGGCATCTTGGGGCTCAGGGAGTTCCTGGGGGGAGCTCATCCCAGCCTCTCTGCACAGTACTATCTGGGCACTGGCTTCTGAGCCACAGTGCAGAGGGAACACAGCCCTTAGCAAGAACCATGTTAACCGTCGGGGAGACAGACAGGGCTCTTGATACCTTCCTCTGAATTTTGTGAAAGAACGCTAAGAGCTCAGGGTGTGGGGGATGTTGGCAGAGAAAGGACAGGTTGGATTCACAGCACCAGGAAGTGGTGTTCACCATGGATGCATGAGTTACACCTCAGCACTCTGGCCCCACTGCCTGGATGTGCTCGGGGTGGTAGTTAGAAACAGCACCTTGCATGGGCACCTGCTGGAACACCCTTTTGGAGTTCCCCACCCTCTGAGGCGCTCATGCATGTCAGCTCATACCTCACAACCACTTTGGGAAGTGGACAGGGTGATCCCTATGGAAAAATCTCTGAGATGTGGGCAGGGAAACTCAGCAAGTTAAGCAACTTGCACAGAGCCACAGTCCCTAAGTAGTGAGCTGGGATTAAAGCCCTGCGTCTTCTCCACCTGTGTCGCTCATCAGGTGGTGGGCAGAGTCAGACACTCTCAGGGCTGTGACCCATGCACTCCATTACAGCCTGTTGGAACCTGCTGCCCTCAAGTGCATTCTGACTCACAGACCCCAGAGGACCTAGTAAAGCCACCCCCTAATGTGTCTAAGGCGGTCAGTTGTCACGGGAGCAGACTGACACATCTTTCTCCTGCAGGGATACTGGTGGGTTTGAACTATCAGCTTTATGTTTTTCAGTGAGAAGTTTAGCCACCAAGCCAACAGAGATCCTTAGGGTTAGTGCAAACAGCTATTTTAAAACAGCAGGCCACAGAGCACACTAGATTTAAGGGATATTTTTTACAAATAGTCCAAACAGTTTGGAAACAGGAATGATGTTTGTAACATCCACTTCTTGCTGATCAGCAAAAGCAATGCCCCCAAAGGAAAAGGGGGTCCACAGAATCTACCTCAAACCTGGAAGGTCCTGAGGGTGAGGAGCACAGCCAGGGAAGTGTCTACTTCCCGACACGCAGCTAGGGTCATTAATGTGTGGAAATTAACCAGTGATTCTGCAGGGAGAAACAAGGAGACAAGAAAGTAGGATACTGAATGACGTACTTATTTTCGTTGCTGGCATCATAACGTGGAGATGGATCGTAATCATTTCCATTGACATCATAGCTTGCGTAGGAATCCTAAGAGTGAATACAAATGACACAGCATGCTGATGCCCATTTTAAAATGATTTTGACTCTACTGGAAAACAGAAGACGCATGGAACTACCTGACTCTTACAGCTTTCATTTTTACAATGCTCCATTTTTGTTTATGTACATGTCATAATATTCATGTAATTGTGACTTTCTCTTTTCAAGCATATCATAAAAGCTGTGACATAATCTTCAAAACTCATTTTTAGTGACTTCATATTTATCTGTCAATATGATATAATATGATTCACTGAATCACTGTTAGGTACCCAGATTCCTTAGGACCTTTCATGTATTAATATGCACCAGGAATTGGTAGAATAAAAATTGAAATCTTTAAAAAAAGTGAGGCGGCACAGGAGGCACTCACTCATCTCTGCCAAGAAATTTGAAAGACAACTATCTGGCCGACTGATTAGAAGAGATCCATATTTGTGCCCTTTCCAAGAGAGGTGACCCAACAGAATGTGGAAATCATCAGACAATCTCTGATATCCCATGCGAGTAAAGTTTTGCTAAAGGTAATACAGAAGGCTATAATCATACACTGACAGAGAACTTCCAGAGGTTCAAGCCGGATTTAGAAGAGGCCATAGAATGAGGGATATCATTGCTGATGTCCAGTGGATCTTGGCTGAAAGCAGAGAATATCAGAAAGATGTTTACCTGTGCTCTATTGACTATGCAAAGGCTTTTGATTGTGTAGATCACGACAAGCTATGGACAACATTGTGAAGTATGAGTATTCCGCAACACTTAATTGTGCTCATGAGGAATCTGTACATGGACCAAGAGGCAGTTGTTTGGACAGAACATGGGAACACTGAATGGTTTAAAATTAAAAAAGGTGTGCGACAAGATTATATTCTTTGACCATACTTACTCAACCTGTATGCTGAGCAAATAATCCAGTAAACTGGGTTCTATGAAGGAAAACATGGCATCAGGATTGGAGGAAGATTCATTAACAACCTGCAATATGCAGATGATACAACCTTGCTTGCTGAAAGTGAATAGGACTTAAAACATTTACTGATGAAGATCAAAGAGCACAGCCTTCAGTATGGATTACATCTCAATGTAAAAGAAAACAAAAATCCTCACCACTGGACCAATAAACAACATTGTTATCAACAGAGAAAAGATTGAAGTTGTCAAAGACTTCATTCTTCTTGGATCAACTAGCAACACTTATGGAAGCAGCAGTCAAGAAATCAAAGGACAAATTAGGTAAATCTGCTGCACAAGACCTTTTTAAAGTGTTGAATAGCAAAGATGTCAGTTGAGGACTAAGGTGCACCTGACCCAAGCCATGGTATTTTCAATGACCTCAAATGCATGTGAAAGTTGAACAGTGAATATGGAAGCCCGTATGAGAATTGGCGCATTTGAGCTATGGTGTTGGAAGAGAATATTGAAAGTGCCCTGGGCTGCCAAAAGAACCAATAGATCCGTTTTGGAAGAAGTGCAGCCAGAGTGTTCCTTGGAGGCCAAGATGGCCAAACTTCGTCTCTCATACTTCTGACACATTGTCAGGAAGGACGAGTCACTGCAGAAGGATATCATGTTTGGTAAGATAGAAGGTCAGAGAAAAAGAGGAAGACCCCCAACGAGATGGATTGGCCAAGTGGCATCATCGATGGACTCAAGTGTGGCAACAGTAGTGAGGTTGGCTCAGGATCCGGCAGTGTTTCGTTCTACAGTGCATAAGGTCGCTATGGGTCAGTACCTACTCAATGGCACCTAACAACAACATAGGTCAGAATCTGTTATTCACAGTCATTAACTCATTTGACCTTGACAGTATCTGTCTGAGATAGTAGTCCTACTATTAACCCCATTGTATGCGGAGGCATGGGTAAGTTAAGCAACTTGCCCAAGGTCACAGAACTAAGAAGTAGCAAAGCCAGGACAGGAATTCAGGTACTTTGGATCTAGAGCCCAAGCTTTTAAAATGGTAATTTTTCACATTTTGAATATTCATGTGAAGGCCACTTCCACATATGGATGTCTTGGTTTGCTCAGACCCTTAAACATGGAAAAATCCGTCTGTGACCTCCCTCTTGCTGGCATCAGCAGGTAGGAGGTTGGTTTCACCAATTCTCCCCAGCACTGCATTCCTCATTGCCTACTTGATTTATTTTTTAATGTATATAATTTAGTTACTTGCATGGCTGTATGTTTCTGAATGACTCACGTAGTTTGGGGCCAGGTCGGGGTGGTTTCTCTCTATGCCGTCATCCAGGATAGTGACCACCACATTCTTCCCCGTGTAGCCCCTCTTCCACGCAGCTTGGACATTCATCTCTGACCGGCAGCGACTGTTCTTGTCACCACAATGCTGTATGCAGAGAAGACACACAGAGCCCTGTGAGCCAGTGGTCTGCACACCCCCAAGAGATGTGTTTAAGTGCCTACCCTTCGCACCTGTGAATGTGACCTTGTTTTGAAAAGGTTACCAGTCAAACTAACATTGGGTTGGACTGGAATAGGGTGGACTATAATGCTACCTGAGAAGAGACACTGAGACAGAGTAAGGAAGTCCAGGTGAAAATGCATCTATACTAGAATTTAGGAAAGCTAGCATCTCTCCTTAGCAATTTCAGAGGGAGCATGGCCTTGCCCACATGCTGATTTGGATTTCCAGTCTCCAGAACTGTGAGATGAGAATTTTTTGTAAACCACCCAGTTTGTGACATTTTGCTATGACAGCCTTTCCAACACGGGCAGGGTGGTATGATCCTGGTGTAGAAGGCAGAGACGGGCAGCCCAGAGAAAGGAGACTCATGCTGGTAAAAGTAACAAGGAAGCACTTCCTCTGCCTTATGTACCAGAGAGTCTTTTCCCCATCTGGATCAAGAAGGAGTATATGTCAGTTTGTGTACCTTTTTCATCCTAATCCTCTTTCTTCAGGGGTTCCATGCAGGAAACCAGCCACAGAATCTAGCTAGTCATGTGATGCTGGAGGATCAGCACTGGACTGCTAACCACAAGTCATTGGTTCAAGCTTACCAGTCGCTCCTTGGGTCACTAAGAGTCAAAATGGAATTGACTTCACTTAACAACATCAACAATTAATTGATTGCCAGTGAGTTGACTCCAATTCTTGTTGACCCCTGTGTCAGAGTATAACTGTGCTCCATGCAGGTTTTAATGAATGATCCTTTTTTCCTTTAGAGGCAGCTCTGGGTGGACTTGAACCTCTAACCATTCCATTTGCAACCAAGCATGTTAACTGTTTGTGTCATCCAGGGACAGTTAGTCCTACAGCCTCTATCAAATTACTTCCCTGCTCAAAGATCCCCTCCTTGAACTTTCACATAATTTCAGAAAAAAAAACCTTTTATGAAAGTTTGAGTTGCCAGCTCTTTGAAGGTCAGGTATTGTTACATCAAGGTGAAGCATGTCTGTTTGTATTTAGCTTTGTTGGGGACATTAAAGATTTTCTTCCTGCACACTCATCTGAAAACCATGGTACTGCAAATGCCCAATGACCAAGAGGCTGCGCCCTGTACTCACCATATACCACATGTTGGACCAAATGGGATCATTGAAATAAAGAGCCTGCGGGTCGCTCCGAGCCTGTCTCTTCACCCTGCGTTTAACTTCCTGCTGTTGGAGCCATTTCACCTACCAGAAAGAAATGCAGTTACTGTGGATTTAAAAAAAAAAAAAAACACATTTCCTGATTTTATATAGCTTCTATGTACATACTACAGATTTTGCTTTTTCATGAAGACCTAGGTCATTATTAAAAGTTTCTGATGGTAACTTCCAAGGGGACATTTTCATTTTAAATAGAAAAATTAGAACTTGTTTAGGTGGAGGAGAAATGATACTACTCTGGTAGATTTTGAAGTTCTTTGACAGAAAGGAAGAGAGAGAATGAGAGAAGAGAGAGGATGCTGCAAAGTTCCCAATTCTGAGGAAAAAGGAAATGTACACAGACCCCTGTGAGAGAGTGGAACAGGCTTGAGTAAAGAGAAGGAAAAAACTGGTCACAATTGGTAGCAAGATGTTTCACAGTTTACAGTGAGGAAATCCACAAGTAAATTATGGTAACCTGTATGCTAGGATTTGGAGAAGCCATCAGAAACATGGTAACAAAACATGCCCAGAGAAAAATCTAGGTAGGGATATGCCATTTTATTAAGGGTTGTGGAGTCAGTTCCAACTCACAGCCACCGTGTACAGCATTTCCAAGGTTTTTTCTTTGTGAAAACAGCAGTCTGGTTGGCTACTACAAGAACAAGCAAGTTGTTCGCTGGGAAGACATCAAGGCAAGCAAGTCCCTTCAGGACAAATCCCCCTCTCCAAGACTGAAACTCAAAAGGAATATACGAGCAGGCATGTAAGCTTGCTGGCAACCACGTTGGTCTACTGGTGTGTGGAAGTGGAGGAAAGAGTTCAACCACATTCCAGAGACTCCCGTCAACCTGGAGATGAAGGGCTGGTTTGTCCGAATTGTGGTGAGACCTGGGGATTCATGAGCCCATGGACAAGTACATAGCCACAGAGGGCTAGAGCTGAAAATGAAGCATCCAGCTGCTATGAAGTGAGGGGAAAAACACAAGAACACCCAAACTGCAGACAGTACCCTTGATGGCTGAATGATCAGAACTCGACTAGGGGAAAATAAAGAAATTTGATAAAGGAAACAAGTATAAATTGCTACAATTTGATGAACTTGACCTATACTTATGGATGTAGTAGCTCAAAATACAACTGAAAGGGAAGCAATCTTCACTTCAAGGATTAAACCTATCCCCTCTATACACAGGGTTGATAGGGACAGGCAACTTAGACATTAGCTACCTAAAATGGGGTGGGGGGTGAGTTTATAAGCATGAAGTGACTGACTTACAAGATTTCAAGGGGGAGTTTAGTTTCAGAGTGTGTGAGGGAAGGTAGAATCTCTACTGAATAGTTTTCATCTTGTCTACATGGGTCTGGTGAAAGGAGATGGGGATAAGATCTTTATAATTCAATAGTGAATAATTGTTATCATGACTAATTGCAACCGTCAAAACTGTAAAGGTGGAAGTTTTGTAACATAAAGGGGGGAAGTAGATAATCTTACAGTCCAGAAACAGAGGACCCTAGGACAATCAAGAGAGAAGAGCAAGAGTGGAATGTGGGACCATATCCAGAGAAGCAGTGATACCAGAGATGGAGACAGAGATGATGACATGGAGAGAGAGCAGTTAAGGACTCCAGACTCATGGAAAAAGAAAGGCTGTGTGCTGGAGGCCAGGGGGCAGGCTTGCAGAATATGCCCTTTGGTTGTTTAAATGATTATATATTCCTGAGTGTTTTTGTGTACATCACCCCTACCCCTCCAAAATAACCCCCCAAAAAAACACAGAGGGGATAGAAGGAAATACTGTTGAATGATGATGCATGGAGGGATTGTAATCTTTGCAATGAAACGAAATAAAATAGGAAGAGTGCAAAACTGATATTCTCCCATGTAAACTACCACTCAATTCACAATAAAAACTTAAAATGAAATAAAAGCACCCCTCCCTGGGACCTCACCAATAGCAGTAGCCTTGGACGCTGCAGCAGCCCATCACATCAGCGACACACTCCACTCAACAAGCACATGTGGCCTTTACTGGGTACCAGGACGGACAAAACGAGGAGTGCTCAATTTGGGACTACCCCCAGCAGATTAAATGTGGGGTACAAGCTCCAATGAGGTGTAGGAACAGAACAGGCTGACCCATACAAGGACCTCACACACTTCCCTCTCCTGGGCTCCCAGGATGCAGGGAGGAGGAGAAGGGGAAGTTGGGGTGGGGGAGCCCTTTGGTGAGGTCCCAAGGAGGAGTGGAGAGGCTGGGGTGATCTGGAGACCAGAATAATGCCTCAGAACCCTGGCTGAACCCCAAGGCCAAAACCTCAAAGCCTAGCAGGCCCGGAGGGCAGCCCCTTTCAGATGTCTCTGAGCCTTAACTTCCCCACATTCCCCACACTGCTGTGAGCAATTATAGCAGATTTTCTTCAGGTATAGCCTCACATTTGGGATGAAGGATTGAACTCAAAGACATCCATGGTTGACAAAATACTCAGAAAGAAGTGTTATAGCCAGAACACTGCCAATGTGATTTGCCTGTAAAACACCAGTAGACACAGTTTCCTTAAAAACACTGCAAAGAGGAGGGAAAAAACAAGATAGCGGATCGGGTGGACATATAGCAGAGAGCTCCGCCAACAACAACACAGAATATCCGACCAAGCAGGCTCAGGGGATGGTCCCAGAACTCTGAACCACATATAAAGGAATACTTAGAAGGTTGGAAGGCTCACAGC